TTGCCGGCCACAGAGCTAGAGGCAGGCCCCGGGTCACGAACACCCTTACATACAACCTGCAGTTACAGACCGAGCCCTGTACAGTCCATCACAGTCATGCCTCGGATCAGCGGGGGATTGGTTCCAGGACCTCCAGGATATGAAAATCCATGGATGCTCACATTTTTTATATAAAACGGCGTATCTGCATACAACCTATGCAAGTCCTCCCATGTACTTTAAATCACCTCCATATTACTTATAATACCTAATACAACGTAAATGCTATGGAAATAGTTGTTACCCAGAACTATTGTTTAGGGGATAATGACAAGACACGCGGTGAACAATGCTCAAACAGCGAGTGCTGGGGAGAGACCACATCAGTGAGGCTACAGCCGGGTACGCCCACACATCACTGCATTCGCATGGATTCTGTGTGGTCCTCTGCGCACGGCAGATTCAAGGGCTGCTTTTTGGAACTTCCTTTTTCTTCCCCCCAAATATTTTCGATCCACAGTTGGTGGAATCCATGGATGCGGAATCCGTGGATGCGGAACCTGCAGATATGTAGGGCTGACTGTACATTGAGAATTCGAGGTACATACGATCGTTCGTAATAACAAACGGGTGCTACTTTGTGACTCGCACCGAAACATTATTTCTGTAATTGCGGTAAAGACGTTTTAGTGTTATCTGGAAGCGTTTAATTTTTTTTAATGCACAGAAAGGTACACTATGTATCTTATACTAAGACAAACATCTGACTAATCAAAGTTAGAAACAAACTGTACCTCATTGTTCTGACTTATGGACAGATTTAATTTAAAGACAGACTTAAGAACAGAAATCTGTTTGTAATCTGGAGACTGCCTGTACTTTCTGCAAGCTTTGAGGCTGTTTGAGCTGCACATGACCCAAATTTTGTGTTAAGACCATTTGTATCAATAGATTATTTTTGACTGCACAGATGAAGAGACTAAAAGACTTAAAAAAAACCTAACTGAACAAGTCAATGATAATTACATTGTAATTACCACCACTACTACAGTATAACCATGCTTTAAAGCGTCTCTAAATGTATTATCCACTGTTGAGAACAAGGTGCTCACTGGAAGCAAAGTCACTGATGGAATACAGCTGTTTCCTGGCCAGCCCTCAGTCTAACTTCACTCTGGCACAGTCTACACACAGGAGAAAGTTGGCTACGCCCTCAGTACTTCTTTGGTGTCAGTTTGAAGTCAGCTATATGGATAGTGCTACCGTTTTATGACTTGTTAAAATATCTACTGACAGATCCCAAGCTGGAAGGTCATACTATGCGGCTCCTAAATCCCAGGCACAGTACTAGAAATTTTAGGTTTGCTCTTAAACCGCTATTTGCCATGCTAGCCTTCATCCCTGGTGGTGCAACGGTTAAGTGCTCAGCTGCTAATCGAAAGCTGATGGTTTGAACCCTCCTAGTGGCTCCACAGGAGAAAGACCTGGCAATCTGCTCAATAAAGATTAGAGCCAAGAAACTCTATAGGGCGGTTCTACTCTGCCACATGGGGTCACCAGGAGTCCAAATGGACTCAGCGGTACCCAGCAACAACAACAGCCTTCATTCAGTGGTTGACCATTCCCTCCCAAGTTGGAGGTACGTTTATGATGCTCTTCACCATGTCAAATCATGTCTTCCACCTCTTACGACTTGACACCTGTCGATCTTAACCAGCTGTGCCTCAAGGCGCTCCACCCCTAATACCTGCACCCTGCCATCTGGCATGGTGCTCTCCCTGAGTGCCTCTGCAACACCTGTACTACTTTTACTATCTGACAGTCATGAGGGGCGAACACGGTTTCCTAGAATCCAAAACGCCAGGAAGAGTGGAAATGAGAGTTAACACACAGACCGGCTGGCTGAGGGCAGTGTAGGCGGACCTGCTAGTACGTCCTGTCCAAGAGCACCACCCTGCACGTGACCAAGCTCGCTCGCTCTCACCAGCTGAGGCCGTGTGATAACACTCTACTTTTTGCCAATTTTGATATAAAAATATTTGTGGGGGGAGAAAAAGCAAAACAAGCTGATGAATCAGTGCCATACAGGGCAGCACTAAACAAGGTCTGTACCTCATCTTACAAATAAGGAAAATGGAGGTTTAGAGATTAAACAATTCAAATAGGGTCAAACTCCAAAGGATGTGAATCAAGCTGAAAACCCAGGTCATCCTAATCAATATTAGCAGAGTGAGTGCCGGCTATTCGGCATACACTGAGTAGCAGGGCCAGCGATTCGAGCGAGAGTAAACCAAACGTGGGCCCTGCTTTCAGAGCTTGAATCCAGTGCGGGAGGCAAGACGTTAGTCAGATGATCCCAAAAACAAATGTAGAAGAACAGCTGGAAAGAAAGTTCACTCGTGCCATGATAGCCTATAAAAGGGAGGTGAGACCATAGCAGGTAGGTCAAGGAAGGCCTCCCCAACAAAGTGATGTTCGCTCTAAGATTTGGTGGCTAACCGACAACGAAAAGAGAAGAAAGCACATTCTAGGCAGAGGGACAGCATGTGCAAAGTCCCCTGGCAGGACAGAGACAAAGCCAGTGCAAGGGGCTGAAAGAGCTCCGGGAAGGCAGGATGAGTGAAGAGAAGAAGGACAAACTTGGAGGAAGATGGAGGTAGGGGACAGACTGCGGGGCCTTGCAAGCCAAGTTACCTTAATGTATTAAGACACCACTAAATAATTGGAAACAGGGAGGTGTCACAATCAGATTCCACTATAAAACACTACAGCAACCCGCCTTCCAGGTGACCCGTCTTGGCCAACTGTTTGTATTTACATCTGGGGACTTTAGTGGATCACAGTTTTCACAAGGCATGAGTGAATGCAGCTACTAGAACAGTCAATAAAACCAGGCCGTTATCAGTAGGAGCAGACTGTTCAGACCAAGTAGTAATAAAAAGCATGCAGGTTCAGGATTAAGAAGATGCTGTTTAAATTCCAGCTCTGCCACTTCGTAGCTGTGTGAGCTGAAGTAAGCTCTTCAATCAGTTATAATATCAATTAACTGGCACAGTGTCTGTGCTGGTACTACGCTCTGTCTCATTTCTTTGCTTCCCCATTTGCACTCCTCCCGGTTAGACCACATCTTGAATGCATTTGCTTCTGACAATGCATTTTAAGAGGTACACATGAACAAATCAGGAGAGAGGAAGGCAAGCAAGAGCCGAGACACCGTGCCACAAGAAGACCGTAAGTAACGGCAGTAGTCTAGTTTGGAGAAGACAAAGGAATAGCCTTTTCCAGCTATCCCTGTCCCTGTGAATATATGTGGGAAGATACACAATAGATCAGGCTCCACGTTAGGACTAAGAAACAGAACCGCTCAGCTATGAAAGTTCGTCAAGTCCAGAACTCGCCATCACTGAAGGAATTTAAGCAGACACTCGATCACCTGATACCGCGGGATCTACGGAAACACTAGAGTACAAGTCCTAATTAGTTACCGCCAACTAGTCAGCATTATTTTACATGGCTGCTGGGTATACGGGGTCTGGGTTTTGGGTTTGTTTTATCGCCTTTTGTCTCTTAGCAGTACTGACACTGTTGTATATCCAGATTATAAGCAGTCCTCACAGTGGAATCTCTTCTTGCCAACCCATTTCTACAGAAGTCTACAAGATTATACCACCATAGTGTAAGTTACAAAAAACAACAACAAAAAAACCAAACCCACTGGCGTCAAGCTGATTCTGACTCACAGCAACCCTATAGGATAGAGCAGAACTGTCCCATAGGGTTTCCAAGGAGCAGCTTGGTAGATTCCAACTGCTGACCTTGGTTAGCAGCCAAGCTCTTTAACCACTACACCACCAGGGCTCCACAAAGAGATAACAGGCAGAGGTTAAAAAAAAGGAAATCCACTTCAACCCCCCTCCCCCACAAAACAAAACCAATCAAAATAAGTTTTTGTTCTGTTTTTTAAATTCCGCCACCATCCAAATTCACCCAGACGCCACAGCCCAGGCTGAGCTGCATTCACTGAAAGGCTGGGCCGGATGATTTTGCTAAAGCTCCTGCCACCTCGAAGATTCTGTGACTCCAAGCAGACATCGTCCAGTAATAAAGACAAACACAATTGACCAGAATCTTTCCTCTGCTGTGCCTCTTGGAAATGGAAACATGGTAGCCGAGATACATAACAAGAAATCCCAATAACAGTGTGTGAGGGTACAACAGAACCAACCAACACACTCAAGGACTACACTCTGGACATCGCAACAACCTCTCTGGGGATTTACAGAAATTACAAAATATTCACTAATGTGGCATTTACTCACTCCATCTGCTAGCTTACTTCTTACTTTGATATTTAATTTTAGATGTGTGTATTTACCCTGTTTCTCAAATTAGACTGTAAATTCCTGGTGGGTGGGGACCAAGTTTTATTCTGCTTTTTATCTGTCCTATAAGGTCGCTATGAGTCGGCATTGACTCAACGGCAACGGGTTTGGTTTGGGTTTTTTTATAATACCAGCACGCATACTACTTCAGTCTTTAATAAAACCTGTAGACGACAGCGAGGTGTCATGGAGAACCACAGTCCAACAGCAAACGAAGTTTTCTTTCCCTGGGCTGGATAACTTTGCAGTGCCATCTCAACTATATATTGCTTCCATTTCCCTCCAAAATAACACATAATTTACAAGTAATAAATCAGCTATAGAGTTCACCAGCACTTGGTTAAATAATTTCTAGAAGGATTTCCTTCACTTTTAAGCTACAGTAACCACACCTTCTTTTTTGAAAAGCCAAAATAAAAAATGCTTGCTTTATGCGCATTATTTCAGCTGCCAGGAACACACTCATCTACCATTGCAGGAGCACTCCAATTACAGCAGGGTCTCAAATTCAAAACTAACCTTTGTAAATTGCCAGTTTTCTCTAAGCATTAATTGTTTTAACCCCACACACTGGCAGAAACCAGAAGCAACAGTGTTTCTATTTCAACAGTTTCTATCCTCTAGTAAGAGTTTCAGAAATCAAACAGCCTGGTGGGGGCAGCACAACACAGTTCCTTAGGGAAAGCAGATACAGGCTCTTCTTAAGCAACAGAAATAAAACGCGAGATAGTATTTCGAGAGAAATATTAAGAAAATAGTTAACCATCAAGAAAATACAGATGATACTGGGCAGTTAAAAGCCAATATCCACATCCAAAGAACTTCTAACTAAGAGGATTATATTCTAAGTCAAGAAAACCACCTTAGTCAAATGTCCAGATATAGGGCTCTGCTACAGGGGGGATATGGAAACCCTGGTGGTGTAGTGGTTAAGAGCTACGGCTGCTTATCAAAAGGTAGGCAGTTTGAATCCACCAGGTGCGCCTTGGAAACTATGAGGCAGTTCTACTCTGTCCTATAGGGTCACTTTGAGTTGGAATTGACTCAACGGCAATGGGTTTTTTGTGTGTGTGTGTGGGGAGGTATAGGGGGAAATATGTGCAAACACTAGAACACACCCTAATCGTGAGTTCTGTTTGAAAACCCGTTGCTGTCGAGTCAATTCCAACACATAGTGATCCTATAGGACAGAGTAAAACTGCCCTATAGGGTTTCTAAAGAGGAGGTGGTAGATTCGAACTGCCAACTTTTTGGTTAGCAGCTGAGCTCTTAACCACTGCACCACCAGGGCGCCTCTCTTTGCAGGAGATTTGGATACCAAAGACACTGAAAAGATTGATTTATAATACAGTGTATTTCTGTATTTCCTTTAACATCCAGCATTGTGTCTCTCATTTTCGGCACTCAATGCTTAATGAATTAATGACTAAGGTAGCTCCAGGAAGATACACACATGCTCTACTAAGCCCTTTGTCTTTGTCAATTCACTCCAAGTGTTTATGCAAATAAAAGCAAAGTAATCTTACCAGCACATATTACAGCGGCTAATTTTAGGTAATGAGTCCTGGTGGCACGGTAGTTAAGTGCTCTGCTGCTAACCAAAAGGTTGGCAGTTCGAACCCACCAGCTGCTCTGCAGGAGAAAGATGTGGCAGTCTGCTTCTGTAAAGATTTACGGCCTTGGAAACCCTATGAGGCAGTTCTACTCTGTCCTACAGGGTCACTATGAGCCAGAATTGACTCGAGGGCAGTGGGTTTGGATTTTGGTTTAGTTTTACCAACCAAAAAGAGAAAAAAAACCGATCCCACTGCCATCGAGTCGATACCAACTCCTAGCGACCCTGCAGGACAAAGCAGAACTGCCCCATAAGGTTTCCAAGGGGCAGCTGGTGGAGTCAAACTGCTGACCTTTTGGTTAGCAGTCAACTTCTTAACCACTGTGCCACCAGGGCTCCTTTGTTTAATTTTAGGTGTAGGCTTATCAACAGCTCAAACACTGACTGACAACCTGCCCTACAGCAAGCACTGAACAAAGCCCTACAGCTAGCATGATGAACAAAACTGTGTCGAATGACTAAGATACGTATTTTATACTCTATCCAAAGGAAATTGAAAGCAAAAACAGAAGATCAAGTTGGGTATCTATAATAACTGGAAACAATGTTAAATATTAAACTCATGACATGTCAAGTAACCTGGATTTTTTTTTTAAGATAACTGTCTCAAGCAAAAGTTTGAGGTATCTATCCATAGCATGTATATACGTGGACACACATGCACACACCCCTGAACCTTTATCTTTTACATGCTTGTTCAAACGATTACTCAGTTATACAAATTTCTTAAATACATGAATCTATTGGTTCATGGGGGCAAAGAATTCCCACTGACCCAGGAACAATCTGGGAAATTTCATCAAGTCAAAGATCCTTAAGTGAGACACAGAGAAATATCAGTCTGGTAAGCTGTTTTGAATTCTGAAAATGATACTGATGAGGAACTAGAAAAGAGAAGAGGGAAATGGTTACAGGGAAAAATCACCTACCCGAGGGGAAAGGAAAGCGCACTGGCAGGGACGAGCTCCGTGCAGAGATGTGCGTGAAGTTGGGTTCAAGGTACAGACCCGGTAAGATGGTGGGTAAAATCAAGGCACTATAAAAGTTCCTATTCAAGGAAGATTATGGGGGTAGACTGGGATGCAGGTGGAGTGGCTAGAAGTTCAGAAAGAGAATAGTTACACTAGTTATTTTTTTAAAAGATTCAACTAGCACATATAGTGACTCAACTGGAGCATTGTAGAGAAAAGAGAAATAAGCACAGAGATTCACATAACTGGTTCCATGAACAGGAACTTTAAAATTCTTATTCCTTGGGATACTCTATTCCATTCTGAGAATCTACAGGTACATGATAGACTACCTGAAATAGCTTTCATACTTCCTCCATCCATTAAGATAAACTTAAGTTTACCGTTTACACCCTAAATGTATCATAGTAAGAACTGGGAAAGCTTCAGTTGACTGTCCTATTACTGGGACACGGTCCCAATAGCAGGACAGTGAGTTCTGTATATCAGCAGTTTTCCAGGTTAAGACTAGCGTTTCAGCTGGAATTTTTCAAGCAATAGAAAAAGAAAAGCTTCTTGTCGTTACCGATCACTTTTTTAAAATCAAGCTATAACACACACAGTTATTTTATGTGCAAATAAGCCCTAGTCTTAAAAGTACAGTTCGGTAATTTACATCCATATAACCGCCGATCACGATCACTTAAGCACAACAGAACCTCTCCTCCGGGCGCGACGAGCTTTCACGCCTTTCAGAAGTCAGATGGGTGAATTTCAAAAGAGAAACATTTCGGTGGGGGAGGGTAACGGCAGCTCCTAAAATGAAGAGTGGAGGACACGACCCAGGCCCGTCGCTCGGTTCTAAGGCAAAGCTCCGAACCGCCGGCCGCGATGAACATACAAAGAAGAAATACAAAAGGGGCTTCTCTCAGTGGGGGAGGCGGGGCGGAGACGAGAAAAGACGTTATAAACGGATGGCACGGAGCAGGGGTCCCGGCAGCTAGGCAACCTGGCCGGAGCCCTCCGCCGGGCAGCTGAGCCCGGAAGAGGTCGTTGGGCGACCGGCTCGCAGAGACGGCCCCCCGCCGCCTTCCAGGACCTCCAGAGCTAGAGACTGGGGGGGGGCTGGGGACTCCACCGACAAGAAACGGGAGAGGAGGACTCCTCCTACTTCTCCCTGAACGGCGCCGGGCGCCGGCCCCGGGCGAGGGAAGGGAGGCGGCGGCCCCGCGGTCCGGCGCGCGGCAAAGCCCGCGGGGGTTGATGCAGCGAGGG